TGGGAAAATATCATACCATGCTTTCCCAGGCACAACTGAGTGGAAGTGGCCATGTATCCATCCCTTCTTCTCTGGTGGAAGTTATTCAGAGAACAGGAGTTGAAAAAAAACAAAAACAAAAACAAACAAACAAACAAACAACCCCCCCTCCCCGACACATCCATAATATCTTTTCTGCCCTCTTATGATCCTCCTAGTGAGAATCCTACAGACATCATTCCTTCACCACTCCTAATATTTAATCCCTTATGAGGGGAAGGGAGAAATTTATTTAAACTCCTTGAATGCCTACTGGGCCAGATATTACTTCAAACATTTTGCTTAAGCTCCACCACATTGCTGTAGATAAAATACGAGAATCACAGAACATAGGTAAGTCATGTGCCTTGGTCACACAACCAAGGGCATACGATGTCTTCAATACATATGTCCTCATTCAAACTTTACAGATTTATTTCCTTGAGACCCTTTGTTAAACTCATGAAAACGACATCTGAGAATTTCAATACATCATTCTTACCCTGAAAGTTGGTTTAGAACTTCTCTGAGACTATTATTACATCTCTTCTTTCAAGTAAACTTCAGCTTCAAGCACTCACATTCAAAATCAATGAAAACTTGCAATTTAATGCTACATTGATCATTGGCAATGCAACAGTATTTTGCTCCAACACTTTAGATTTCTGTAGGACCCTACATCTTCATAGAGGAGACTGGCAAGACAAAGCACCATTTACAACTTCCTTTCCTGTTCCATGGAAAGTTCCTCAAAACCAATTGGCAAATATTTGTGGTATACAATGTCTTAAAACTAGGGACTGCTGATATCTATACGTAAGTTTTCAAAACAAAATCAGGTATCTCAACATGGCCTTGCATGAGGATTCAACCTTGCATAGATAGCTACTTCTTCCCTTGTTTCCAATGGGGACAAGATTTCTATGGAAATATTCTACTGCTCTGGCCATCACAAAGTCAATTTAGGGGAGGAAAAACATAGCAAAATAAATAGACTATAGACTTCAATTTAAATACCAATATTACTAATCATTCCTTTTAAGTCTTTAATTAATTCCCTTGTTACAGTTAATGTAATTTTCAGTTGTCCTTGGAAGTATTAAAATGTCAAGATTAACATTCTCAATAAAGTATTTTCTTCATATTACATTTTATTTTTCAAATAAAAGCCAAGACCCATTCTGACCTGGATTTGAAGTGAATTAGAAGCTTGATTAATCCGGGATTCATGTTAACTTGCTAGAAATACTCAGTAATTGTTATCTAAATTAAATTTATTTACTTCATTGAGTTGTATTTTATTTTTTAACCCAAAACAAACATTAGTATCTTTAAAAGAATTATTTCATAGAATTCTAACTTGAAGATCATAGAAAATGTGCGAGAAAGATTTTTGTGATTTAATTTGTAAGAACCCACTGATTTTTACAAAATTATTAACTTATCAGTTATTAAAATTTTGCCACTTTGGCCTCTGTAGACATGCTCATAATTAACATACTGTGAATGTTAAATCTACCTTTTATTAATTTACTTTTGAAAAAAATTGAAATTCAAGCAGCCAAATTAATCAGAGATTGCTTTGGGTTTATCTCTAACTACATCCAAGTTTTTTTAAAAAAAAATAATATTATTCTAAAGTGTATTTAAAATCCGAAAACACAAATCTCTACAACTTGTTAAAGTAATACACTGAGACAAAAGTACTCAAAGAGAGGGGCAAAGTGAGAGTTACATTTATAGGTAAGTGGCAAACTGTACATGGGAGCTTTGCCTCAGAAGGATTAGCTGATCAAATTTTAGAGAGAGAGAGAGAGAGAGAGAGAGAGAGAGAGAGAGAGAGAGAGGGAAGGAAGGAAGGAAGGAAGACAATCCCACAAAATGTTAAAGTTGCCAAGTTTATGCTAGCCCATTGACAAGGAGGAAACAGCAGTCCTGTCAAATACACTGCATTCACCAAGACCAAGGCATTCCTTCAGGTAGGTAAGCTAGAGTCTTCATTCACAAAGACCAAGGCACTCCTTCAGGTAGGTAAGCTAGAGTTTACATTCATCAAGACCAAGTCATTCCTTCAGGTAGGTAAGCTAGAGTCTGCATTCACAAAGACCAAGGCATTCCTTCAGGTAGTAAGCTAGAGTCTGCATTCACCAAGACCAAGTCATTCCTTCAGGTAGGTGAGCTAGAGTCTGCATTCACAAAGACCAAGGCACTCCTTCAGGTAGGTAAGCTAGAGTCTGCATTCACCAAGACCAAGGCACTCATTCAGGTAGGTAAGCTAGAGTCTGCATTCACCAAGACCAAGGCACTCATTCAGGTAGGTAAGCTAGAGTCTGCATTCACAAAGACCAAGGCACTCCTTCAGGTAGGTAAGCTAGAATCTGCATTCGAAAAGACAAAAGCACTCATTCAGGTAGGTAAGCTAGAGTCTGCACTGAAGGGACAGAATCCAGATTCACAGCTTGAGAAAACAGAACTGGTCACATTCATTTTTCATTTGCACACTTTTTTGAAGCAGACTGTGATGAGGTTTAAGCACCATGATCAAGGCACAGTGCCAGCCTGCTTCCATACCATGCTAGTTCCTACCTGCTGTCTGTGTTCTGCTTCCACACATACATGGGGTCTGGGGTGGCTATTTAAAGAGGTTTGCACAAAAGATTTGATTAGCATGTGTCTTAAAATAACTTCTCTGTGAGTCTGTTTCAGGCTTGCTCTAGCCCCAAGTATGGGCATTCTCATCACATTCTCAACCTGCCTCACACAGACGGGCATCCTTGAATGTAGACTTATATTCAACCACACAAATTAACTTTTCACTTAGCAAATTACCAAAACCAAGCTTTGATTACAATAAACCGGTGTCTAATGATAAACCAGAAAAAAAAACACAACTTTACAGTAAGCGTCATAAAAGTGAACCAAAATAAAAAGAGCAGTCACATTAAAAATTTAGGGAAAAAAATATATTATGTATATATATATAACTTAAATTTCTAAAAAGGAAATTAACTTTAAGTCTGTGTGCAAAAATATTTAATGCTTCCACTACAGACACTATCCTAAATGCCCAAATTAGTTTGGCATCAAGACTAAGGAATTTAGAAACAGCATTAGGTACGATATCTCTGTCATATCCTAATATATGTACTTAAAGGTGGATTTTATTACTTTTTGGAATACATATTTATATCAACTTAAAATGAATGTTCACAGGTATTTCTGTGTCTGTAAAAATAATCCCATTCTTAAAACATAGTTGGAAAGCTAATGACCCCTTCCCCCAGATGACCAGGAAGCAAACAGTTGGCTTCCTTGGGAGTTTGTCCCAGTTTCTAGGGATCTGCTTTCTCTTCTGTGAGGCAGCTCAGTTTCAAGGGTCTTGCTGAGAATAAACACTATTATTTCACAGTGATTAAGTTTTCAGCCTACCCACAACCTACAAATATAATTTGAAACAAATTTACCTTTCCATCATTAAAAGAAAACATTGTTGCTTTCATTTTTATAGCTAAATCTATTACCCTGCTTGGATATGCTGCACTCTTCTGGGCATAGAATTTCATAGCAAGTATCCAAATAATCAAGCCACGAAGTCGGATCCATCAAGCCATAATTTCTTATTAACCAGAACTTTTGAACGTGTGCCTGGCACATTTTGCACAAAACCAATACACAACAAATAATCATGGCTAATATTAATAATTAATACTTAAACGAAAAGTGCCGTATGATTTCTGACTTGGTTTTCTATTTTCTCATACAGCCCAACACCTGGAAACAACTGTACTGTGGGCACTCTCCTGGAACCTGCCAGGTATTTTTGCTCCGGTCTAAGACAGCAAGCAAGTAAAGGGCAAATCAAAATCACTTTTCCGGAGAAGGTTGATGGTGAACAGCGCTGCCACCGAGCAGCTTCCAGGTGTGGGAAGTCAGTCAAATTTTCCTCTCCGGTGACTGTTTCTTGTTGGAGCAACAGGGGGATTCATAACACAGTTTGGCAAACGTTCTCTTGTCCCTTCACCGGGAGGTTCCCAACCAAGTCAAAAACGTAGATCTATGCAATATCAGCAGGGCATTCCAAGCGATGTCATGGGAGGTGGAGCCAGTCTCCATGACATTCCATGAGACTGAATACTGCAAGGCTGTCTTGAAAACAATCTCTATTGGACCAAGTCTTTCCTTCGCTGGGAGTTGTCGCATCCAAGACTTAATTTCAACAGGGTTCAATTTATTGCTTGGAGCTCTGGCAGCATAAAACTGTCTTCTTTGAATGGAAAATTTGACCAACAGCGATGAGGTAAATGAATTTCGAAAGTGGGGGAGTGTGGGGGAGGCATACAACTTTTTTTTTGGAAGGGGAAGAGGGTGCATATTTAAAGCCCTAAGCAATCCCCAAACCCCAAGTCTCCATGGATTTTTATGTTAGTGAGGCCAAGCCGAGAGCTTAAAAGCTCTGCGGGGGAGCATAGGGACTTAGGGTTTGAGAGTTACTGGGCGCCAGGGAATCCCTGTCTTGGGTAACAAGAGGTGACTGGAGAAAAGACGCGCTTCAAAACCACCCATTGCTCCGCAATCCCCGGTGTTCTCCTCGGGATCGCCAATTGGCGAGTGCAGGAGCATGCAGGCGCTACCGTGTTAGTGTAACACGGTCACTCGCGAGGATCCACCACCTTTGGGGCTCCGGACCAAGTGGGCTTGGGGCAGGGTAAGCTCGGACCAGCTCCGGCTCTGCTTCTCCGGACGGGTCTGATCCGGCTCCGGGGCGCAGCTCCCGCCCTCCAGCGCCCTGGGGAGCTGCGACCTCCCCGCCTCTGCCAGGCCCCCGCGAGGCTGCGCTTCCCGTAAACTCCCCGCCCTGCGCGGCCCCCTCCCCGCCTCGGCTCCACCCCCGCGGGACCCTGGGAGGCGTGAGATTGGCCCGGACGCGCTGTCACTCTCCGGACGCGTCACCGCCCTCGTTTCCGACCGCCCGGAGACCGGCAGTGCTATTAGTGCACGGCGGGGCCGCGGAGGAGGACAGCACGGTCCCTGGTTCGCTCGCACTCGCCGGCAGGTCGGCGCGCTCGCTCACCTGAGCCGTGTCCTGGGGCCGCAGGGCCACCGGGCTGAACACGCGCCCCCGCCCGCCCGGACACGCACCGAGATGGGCAGCGGGAGAAGTTGACGAGCCCCCCACGCACGCGGTGCTCTTGCTGCCCAGAGGTGCGCCGCCCCTGGCACCGAGGTGTCCTCGGCCCTGCCCCAGATGTGCGCGGGACACCCTTGCCTCCGCGACTGGAAAACTTCAACCCCCAAGTCCAAAGTGGGCTCCGAGGGCGGTGTCCGCAGCTGGACCGCGGGGCTGCCTGCTGGGGAACTGTCCTGCGGCTCCCCGGGCGAGGGGAGGGCGGGGACCCGCTGGAAACTTTCTCACCATCTTCCTAACCACTGCGTTTTACTGTCTCCTCTCCCCACAGGGGCTGCAGCCAGCGGTCTGTCGCGCGTGCCTGTTTGCCAAAGGAGCCACCCCGGCGAGGAGAGCCGGAGGGGAGCCGCTTCCAGCGGGGAGACCCGCAGCTCAGACACGCGCTCTGGGCGGCCTGGATGCGCAAGAACCGGCCCCGCAGCTGCTGACGGCCGGCGGCAGCGAAGTTTGGCTGCTGAGTGGCTCGGCGTCCGGCCCCTGGACAGACTGCCAACCGGCGGCTGCAACAACCGGAGCGATGCCCGTGGGGGGCCTGTTGCCGCTCTTTAGTAGCCCTGGGGGCGGCGGCCTGGGCGGCGGCTTGGGCGGGGGGCTTAGCGGCAGTAGGAAGGGGTCTGGCCCCGCCGCCTTCCGCCTCACCGAGAAGTTCGTGCTGCTGCTGGTGTTCAGCGCCTTCATCACGCTCTGCTTCGGGGCAATCTTCTTCCTGCCTGACTCCTCCAAGCTGCTGAGCGGGGTCCTGTTCCACTCCAACCCCGCCTTGCAGCCCGCGGCAGAGCACAAGCCCGGGCCCGGGGCGCGCGCCGAGGATGTCGCCGAGGGGCGAGTCCGGCACCGCGAGGAAGGCGTGCCAGGGGACCCCGGGGCTGTACTGGAGGACAACTTAGCCAGGATCCGTGAAAACCACGAGCGGGCTCTCAGGGAAGCCAAGGAGACCTTGCAGAAGCTACCCGAGGAGATCCAAAGAGACATTCTGCTGGAGAAGGAGAAGGTGGCCCAGGACCAGCTGCGTGACAAGGAGCTGTTTGGGGGCTTGCCCAAGGTGGACTTCATACCTCCCATCGGGATAGAGAACCGGGAACCAGCTGATGCCAGCATCCGCGAGAAGAGAGCAAAGATCAAAGAGGTGAGTGAGTAAACCCTGCCAGAAATCCCACTCATGCTGCTGTGTTTTTCAGGGAGGTAAGATAAACGGTTGGAACTTAGGGCTTCAACGTTATCACGCAGAGGCAAGAGAGGTCTGCGCTTCCACCGTTTGCCAAAGGCTGC